ATCCCATGTGTATCATCAAAACATTTCATAATGAATTGTGAAGTTCAACATGAAATTTCAACTTTAAAAAAAGCAACATCTGTTCATTTAAAAATGTTCTCCTCTTACTAGCAAATCCCAATCAATTTATGATCGGATTTTTCTGCTAAAAAGTGGATTAATAAAATAAATTATTTTTTGTCACAATTCTAGTTTTTGCATTAAAATTAATGTTGAACTTATTCTCAGTCACAATTTCAAAAACTCACAATGAAAATACCAAACATGTATAACGAACTGAAAGTTTAAAATACACTTTTTTTAAATGATGACATTCAAAAATTCGGAAGCTGAAGAAAATTTTTTTTCATAGATGAAAATCAGTATTCTCAACAACAGCAAATAATGCAATTTTCTTATCACAAAAATTATGTATAATATAACTGTACCCAATCAGAACACTGATTCACTGCTTCATCTAAATGAAAAAGCACCATTTAAATCGTTAATGCTGTCAGCTTCTGAAATCTTTAAACAAATGCTTTTTATTGCTAAAAAGGAAGAAAATAGTAATATGCTTTCACGGCAAACTTTGTTGTTTTCAATTCATCGACATACTTCATCTGGCAAGTTTTTTTATTGTTTTGATGGCAAGTTTTGTTCATTGTTCACTGCGCGTCTTCTCATTTAGCACACAATGAGGAGACGCGCAGTGAACCATTTCTGAGTTATAATTTAGCATACTGTGACACAATATTTTCAAATTCAGTATATCAACCTAGAAGAAGAGTTAATGGATATTCTTCAGAGGAAACATCACATTGCATATTCAAGAATATATAAATCAAAATACAAAATATGTAACTAGTATCTTCTAACCTCTTTCACCTGAATTCAGCGAATTCAGGTACATTCATACAAATTAAGCTTAGTAAGCCTAATCTTCTTTCATTGCAAGCCAGTAGATCTTCAAGCGATTTATTTTTTGTTGTTAAAGGAGTTTTCTTGCAATTCCCAAGTACTGAAATATTTCAATTATGAGATGACTAATCTTATAACAGAGTGAATACTATAATCACTTTAAAATAGCAAATCAATATTTATTAATTTAATATTCAGTTAAAAACTTACAGTGAGTACAGCTTCACTCGATGCTAGTATGCGATGAATGCCATTTCTTAATCTACCTCACATCTTGAAGCCATAAGTTCATTTTTACAATGAGTATTCTTTTCCTGCGAAAAAACATACATTATTTCAACTGATTAAGAAATATTGCACAAAAATAATAATAAAACTAAATGCACCTGAATAAAATAGTTCTAGAACCAACACTACCAAAATTAGTGAAGGAATTTATCAAAATTGTAATCGCTTAATTTTTCAACTTATTTCATTATCGTTGAAACGAAATCGCCGACTAGGATTTAGATAACGTTAATTCTTTTAATACTTAATTTTAATCAAACTATCGAAAATTGTACAACTATAGTCTGTTTAACAGAATGAACTAACCTGCCACTGTCTAAATGGCCTGGTTTTACTGTTGATAGTTCCATAATAAATAAAATTGCCGATTCATAACTTCTTTTTCAATACTTACATGATTGTGCAAAGCAGACCTTTCACCAGACCTTCCGCCCCTTCCCATCCCAATCCTCACATAATCAAGCACTTTTTACAAGGAAGGCATTTTAAAAATAATCCAAATACTTGCCCAAATTCAAGCCTGCCTCAAAAAGTCATCACTCTCAAAGAAAACTTCAAGTGATAATTTTACAATATGCATCACAAAAAGTATTAAACATTTACAATATTTACTTGAAAAACAAATTCGACATGAAATATGCCACTTTCAAAAACCCATCTGCTTATTAGATCTTTTGACTCTTTATCAGTAGTCAAATCAATTTGCTAAGATAACAGGCTTAATAGAATACATTTAAACCTACATTTTATTTATCTCGCCCCACTAGAGTTCAACTTATAGGTCAAATTTTACTTTTCAAGCATTATAAATCTGCGAGTTCAAAATATACAAATAAAAAGACAAAAAGTTAGAAGTCAAAGTCAGTCGCACTCAATATGCGATACCAGCAGGTCAAAAAATAGATTTTCCTCAGTGTTAAAATACGATTAATGCTCTGAACTGAGCAAAATCAGTTTCAATTTTTTGAATTTTAACATTGCTTACCAATTACACATTGATGTTAAATGATCAGTCTAGAGATATGTAGTCTAATGTGGATCAAATCCTTCTTCCTCCAAATGTATTCATCAAGTAAGAGCATTCATTTCATTTATTACGACTATTGTGCAAAGTAGTCTCTGGTGAGGTAGGTCCATTACGTCCTGGTCTATTAGTAATTATAATTTTCAAGTCTGCTTCGTTTAATACTCATTTCCTAGATTGAATGTGAAGCAAATTTTTTAGTATTGTACATTGCATTCTCATGCTTATTTTATAACGATTTTGTTATTTTGTTTTAAATATTCGTTT